CCCAAGGAACCAAGAGGGGACAGCACCAAATTGACAACTTGCACAATATAACCAAACTGATCTGTTGTTGTCTGGAGATCAGTTGTGATTCTGGAAGAACTCCCGGCCTTACCTAAATGTTGGTCACTTTAGAGTCCATGGTGCGTATGAAGCCAAACATGAAGCATCAGCCTTGAATGGTAGCTTGACCCTCAACCCGTACAAAAGCCCATCTAGGTGGGCCTGCAGCTCAAAGGCCTTGACAAGCCGCAAGTCATATGGCCGCCGGGCTACATGCAACAGGGTAGGTCAAAGGTGGCATGGGGGCTTGGTTGAGATCATCCCCTCATCTGTACTCTACTGTGGTCCACTGGCTCAAAGTCCTACATTTTTATACCCTTTTTATTATTATAAATACCAATAATGTTCTAAGTCACCTTCAGCTCTTTGGGGAATAGGGCTGCTGGTTCCATCCTGACAACCAGTGGGGGATGGGAGGGGACCTGCCAGGAGCCAAAGGGACACCCAGGTGATGGGGATGTGCCTATGTCACTTTCAATGTGCATTGGAAGTGATGTCATCACGCCACGACATCAGGGCAATGTTCTGATATTTGAGCAAAACCCTATGGCCACATGGCTTCCACCATGAGAGTGTTTGCCCACATACCAGAGTGTTTCCTGGGTGATGGTGTCCCGGGTGCTGGGAAGTCCCCCCACCAGCCAGCTGATTGGCTATGGAGGGAGGGGCCTGGTCATGGGGGACACATGCCTTCACCAAGGGGGTCTGGCAAATCTATTGGGAAATGGAAGAATCTCTCTCTCACACACACACACACACACACACGCGCACGCGCGCGCGCGAATACAGTCATCCCAATACCACTTAAAGAAACGGAAATATAATTCATCCTCCAGTTAACCCTGTTAGGTTGGTCTCCATGCCAAGAGTCACTTGACCAAGACCATCCAGTGCACGCATCCCCGAGGTAGCCGTGGAACCAAGCCCCGTTGCCAACCACAATCCACCAGACCCCGCATAGCCACCCTTCCTCCCTCTCCAGTGCTGTGTTCCGACTTGGCATTCATTCCCACACGTAGACACACACACTCGCTCTCCAACTCCGTCTCCCTCCAATCCCACATTCGCTGTGTCTATAGAATATTTTTAACAGGTTTGCCTGATTCCGCTTTGTATATTAGACACTCGTGAGGAGAAGACATTATTAACACTTGGGCTTTATTTTAAGAATGAGAGCAACACCCCCATTTGACCTTTTCAGCAGTGATGTGATTCCATTCCGCTAAAGTTAATTTAATAAGTGCTAGATTAAACACTCCCCCCCACCCCGTCAAGGCCCAGGTTCAGAGAGAGAGAGCAGTTCTCCTCTGACAGCTGATGCTACCAGCTAATAGAACTATGTGAAGAGTATGATAGTTCCCCACCCCCTGCTATACGAATGTAACAATGGAATGAGATGTTGCATGGAAAAGGGAATCCTTATCTTAGAACATACCCATAGAATCTATTTTTTTTTAATGGCCAGCTAGATGCCTTCCGTTCCATGCACCTTGGTGTTTACTCATGCCAGCCACATGACCACGAAAACGTCTTCGGACAGCGCTGGCTCTTCGGCTTTGAAACGGAGATGAGCACCGCAACCCTAGAGTCAGATTCGACTGGCTTTCTTTTTCTTTTTTTAAATATTTTTTAAAATTGTTTTACACAAATTTTACATATTATCTTTTAACTATGCGTTTACATAGTAGTTTTTCCCCTCCCCCCTCCCCCCTATGCTATCCCGGTGCTTTAGTCCTATATTCCCAGCCACGGGCACAAAGTCCGGGATTCGACTGGCTTTCAAGTAAGGGAACCTTTACCTTTTTAGATGCCTTCCACTCTTTTAGGAATGGCTTACACTTGCATGTTTTATTTCTTTTATTATTATTTTATTAAACGTTACTTATATCTTGCCTTTCTCCCTAATGGAAACCCGAAGCAGCTCATATCATTCTCTTCTTCTTCGGTTTATCCTCACAATAACCCTGTGGGGTAGGTTAGGCTGAGAGTGTGTGACTAGCCCAAGGCCACCCAGCAAGCTACCGTGGCACGAGTGAGGATTCAAACCTGGATTTTACCAGATCCAAGTCCACCATTTAACTCCCACGTCACACTGGCTCTCATTGAATGCCCATGGACTGATGCCTCAAATGATGTTGTACATTTATGATTCCATAGATAGTGCCAATGAGAAACAGCACTCTTACAGTGGAAGTGGGTCATGCTCTTGGCAGAACATCATGAAGCATTATAGCACGAGACATCATTTGCAAATCCATTGACATGTGTGGATCCACTTGAAGAGTCTTCAGATCTCACTTATTAGTATCTGTCATAGGATGGGTATTTCCCCTCCTTATTTATTTACATATTGTCAGGGGTCATTTCCTGTAGGGAGTACTCAGGAGCGGAGCTCCGGCAGTAAAGAGCCCAGGGGGTGGGCACATACAACAAGCCCCACCCCCTGCTCCCAGCAGCCCTCAGTCAGAGCAAGAAGCAGCCAGGTAAGCTGCAGAGCCCCCCCGGCCCCCCGGTCCAAAATCGACCAGTGGCACCTTTAAGACCAAGTTTTATTCAGGTACAAGCTCTCCCTCCTCTGCGAGGACAGATCTGCACGTCCCGCCCCCCCCAATAGCTAGCAATCCAAAACAGTCCAGTGGAGCCCCAGCGGTGGGTGTTGCCTCCTGACACACTTCTGGTGATGTCAGGGGGTGTGGCATATGCAAATGAATTATGCTAATGAATTATGCTAATGAGATCCTGCACCTCTTTTTCTACGAAATGACTCCTGCATATTTTCATCTTGCCTTTCCACCAAGGAACCCTGTATCTGCCTTGGCCCCAGATCACCCAGAGAGCCTCACGGAAGAGGCTGTTCAGTGCACTCTTATCACACCAGCTCGCATCGTCAGGGTGTCTATCTGGATTTTTCTCTCAATGACCAAAGTTTCCAAATGGCCTCCATCATGAAGTGGAACCAAAGTATTATGATCTTACTCATTATTCCAGTTCTTCCATTATTCCTTCATTCACTTTATTTATTGTTGAATTCAGTACAGAGTAATATTGGCACTGGTATAATTTGTTCCTTCACTGGATGTGCCTCTATTCCAGCCCACACAGTCATCGGTATCATCACATAAAGATTCTCTTTCGCAGAATTATATGAATGCATTCATATAATTCTGCGAAAGAGAATCTTTATGTGATGATACCGATGACTGCATTAAGATCTGACTGCATTAAGATCCTTTCTGTGTGCTTTTTACTTAAGAACCACAGTGCAGGAGTGACTCAGTAAAACACCACATAAAATAATGCATGTCATCACCCTTTGGGTTATTTCTTTTTTAATATGCATGTGTGCACTTTCAGGTTCTGGAATTTTTTTAGAAACAGTATTAGCTAAATGGGAATAAAGGAGGAATACAGGGTTGGATCCAACCCTGCTTATCCACTGGTGGAAAAGGAGGGAAGGGATCCCCTTTAACCACCCCAAAAAACTAGGGTGATTTCCCACAAGCGCTGCTCCGCGCTCACTCTTCTCTTTGGCCTGATGGTACGCATCAATTTCACACAAGCTGCTGCGCGACTGCATTTTGCCCCACAGATTCGTGTGATTTCCCCTGCGTCTACTCAATCCTGTTTTTTGAGGATTGAGTAGACACGGGGAAAATTGCATGAAGTTGTGGGGCAAAATGCGGCCGCGCAGCAGCTTGTGCGAAATTGACACGTACCATCGGGGCAAAAGGGAGGAGTGAGCGTGGTGCAGCAGTTGTGGGAAATCACCCCTATACAGAGGATCACAAAGCCTGCATGGATTAGAACGGTGTCTGGATCAATGCTCCCTCGAAGATGTGGAGTCTTGTGAGCAACAATTTTACTTTGTGAGCTACTGGCCTTAAAGTTGTGAGCGAGCAATTGGGCTCCTGTGTCAATTAGTTTGCTCTGGAGCCGTCCTTCCCGGGATAAGAAAAAAATGTGTGAGCAGGAGGCTAAAAAACTGTGAGCTAGCTCACACTAACTCAGCTTAGAGGGAACCCTGGTCTGGATCCAATCCACAGTGAAGGGTGGGTCAGCAGTGGAATGCAAGTGAACTGAAACCCACAGCAAATTGTGCACATTCCAATTCCAGAATTAGTTGTAGAAACTCTCTTAGTTAAACTTGAATGAAGGAGAAATACAGCGCACAGCGTAGAACAATACGAGAATGGAATAAAGAACATCTGCTCATCCCTATCTCATCAAAATCCCCTAAGACTAGGTATTTGGCAACCTCTACCTGATCCCCCATGCAAACATGAACTGGATTTATGGATCCAATATTAGATTGAACCAGTTGCCCCACGTGGGGAAATGGTTCCCGCGATTTGCATGACTGTCATACCTTGGGACAAGCCCATAGCAAAGGAGCATGTCAGGTCAGCCGCATGCATACTCCATCCACAGAGAATTCATAAAACGGCACTTCCATGTAATCCCAATCATATTGTGAGTCCCAAAGACTTTTCTCTTGTTCAACAGACATACAGAGTCATTTGGCAAGACCATATATTGGTGTGACACCGCATCAATGGCAGAGATGATGCCTTTCTTTTCAGCCAGACTTTTGTTAGGAGTAAGAAGTGAGCAGACGTCAGGGGGCATGGCATATGCAAATAAGTTATGCTAATGAGTTATGCTAATGAGCTCCGGCAGCTCTTTTTCTACAACAAGACCCCTGGACAAGCCCATAGCAAAGGAGCATGTCAGGTCAACCGCATGCATACTCCATCCACAGAAAATTCATAAAACAGCACTTCCATGTAATCCCAATCATGTTGTGAGTCCCAAGGACTTTTCTCTTGTTCAACAGACATACAGAGTCATTTGGCAAGACCAATGGCGGAGATGATGCCTTTCTTTTCAGCCGGACTTCTGTTAGGAGTAAGAAGTGAGTAGATGGCAGCTAGACTTCAAGACTAGTGGGTAATGATGGCTAGGAGGCCTTCTGACCCTGTGTCAATGTCAATACTTTCCAGGTCTATCTCTTCGTCGTCTTCGTTCTTCTCAGGATCCCCCTCGTTGTCACTCCCGAAGAGGTTCCCATCCTCTTGATCTTTGCTCCGCGACCCCCACGTCACCTTGTTCTCCTTCTTGAGTCGGCGGCGGGCGTTGGCGAACCAGGTGGAGACCTGCGTGAGGGTCATCTTGGTGATGATGGCCAGCATGATCTTCTCGCCCTTGGTCGGGTAGGGGTTCTTGCGGTGCTCGTTCAACCAGGCCTTCAGCGTGCTGGTGCTCTCCCGGGTCGCATTCTTGGGCCTTCCAGGGTCACCATATTGGAACTGTCCATACGGGTAATAACCAGGGGTGGTGTGAGCACCAAAAGTGGCAGGGTGGACGCCTGGGTTGTCCTTCAGTTCATACTGGGAACCCTGCAACGTATTCAGATGGGGGGGGGAGAAAAGCAAGAATGAGGACATTGGTTGAGAGCGACCTTTTCACAGGCTTTTCCTGTTTCAGGCCACCAGCTTTCATGAATGACTGTGGTACAGAGAGAGAGAGAGACAGAGAGACAGACAGACAGAGAGTGAGAGACAGAGAGAGAGAGAGAGACAGAGAGAGAGACAGAGAGAGAGAGAGACAGAGAAAGAGAGAGAGAGAGATTAGACTGAGTGTCTAAGCCTGTCAGAGTGGAGGTTTGGAGTTTGAGAGACTGTGATACCAAGCTTTGCCAGTTGTATTTACAAGTTCCTTTCTTCATCAACAGTTCAAAATAACCAGTAACCTATTTTGTTCTTTATTAAATAAATCAATTTTTGTTTAAACTTATCCCAGAAATCAGAATAGTCATTCCTCAGGGCCACATAGTCCCCTGAAGTGCCCAGACCCTAGGTCATTCTACCAAAAGAGAAAGATTTTGAATTTTTAATTCCTGGTGGCAGCAGAAATCCACCAAGTTTATATACACAGAGAGTGTTTAAAGGAGAAACAGTCACTCCAATAAACAAGGACATCACAAGGCTATAAGCTTGGGTGGTTCCACACTTACTTGACTGACCGATTATACCTGTGTCGGATAGGAATCCTCATACATCAAGAAAGGTGGCTAGGTTCTGCGCCCAGGTATATAAGGAACGCAAAAGGCGAGGCAAATAGACCATATCTCTACTTTTATCAAAAATTGTTTTCAACTGACTTTTTATATGGCTAAAAAGGTTTGAATAGTAGTTTTACTTTTTTCCTTAATATTTTATATAACTTATAAGGTTTTATGTTACTAAGGTTTTTTACTGGCTCATAACCAGCTAGGATAGTATCGGGAATTTTTCTATTTGTCTTTTAAATTGTTATGTACTGGCCGAAGACCGTAACAATAAACTACCTGACTGACTGGCCGATTCCAGAATGCAGTGCTGGGGGACTGCAGCATGGCCTAGTGGGATCTGTGCTACGGGATCCTGAAGTCTCCCATGTTATTCATTGTGCTGTTGGACATTTATATGAAACTGCTGAGAGAGGTCATCCAGGGATGTGGAGTGTCTGGCCTGTAGCTAACATGGGGCCAATGGGGCCTGGCCCCCTAGTGTTTCTTCTGGGCCCCCTCCCTCTCGGGCTGCCTCCCAAAGTGCTCCAACTTACCACCTGCACTGTACTTCCATTTAATTAGCTGGCAGGCCCCTCTGAGGCCCCCTCCCCCAAAATTCCCTAGCTACGGGCCACCAATATGAGGATGACACCTAGCTTTCTTATATGATAATTTATGGGATTTTTGAAAAAATGATTGTATGGTGTTGTTCTTGCTGGTAAGCAAGCCAGGTAGCCAGCCAGCCAGCCAGCCAAGATGTGCCCTCTCAGATCAAAAGATCTGGGTTGCTGGCTGTGTTGCAAATGGAATTTCAGTTTTCAGTTGTTTTGAATAAAAGACTTTGGGATTTTATATCCATAACACCCTCTTGCTTTGTCCTTTAAATCTGTGATCATACTGCAAAATAAACAGCTGCATTAAGGACAATGAACCAATTTTGGCAGGCAAAGAGGTGAATTGATTTTTTTTAAAAAAATGATTTTCCTTAAAAAAAAGACATTTGCATTTGATGTTTGAAATCCACAGGTACAGCATTATTTCTGAGCTGATGCTTAGCTGCATGGGCTGATTCCAAACACTCAGCACCAGCCAGGGATCACAGTTGCAACCTCTTTCGCACGCGCCAAGCATAGGCTGCTTTCCTTTCTTCCCATGCAGATCCAGGGGAACTCAGCCAAGCAAAGCACTATAATTTCAAAGAAAGGAAGATAGCAGAGCGGTAGCTTTCTAAATATTGTTATCTGTTCTCCAATAACACCTTGCTAGGGTAATGGCACCACTTCTTTTGTGTGTGTTTAGGGTTTAAATATGCTAACTGGATTTTAGAACAACGTCTGAGTCCAGGGGCACCTTTGTGACCAACAAAGTTTTATTCAACATATAAGCTTCTGTATGCAAAGCACACTTCTTCAGATACAATGGGATAAAATCTTACTCGGGGGTTTCGAAAAGTAGGTGTTTGTGTCATAATAGCTCCTTAACTAAGGTTCTTCTCTGGGTGCCCGTGAAGCCAAGAAATCGTCCTCACAGGCTGTCAGCAGAGGTGTTCCTCGAGGGGGTGTCCACAGTTACAAAGAGGATTCAAAAATAGCTTATGTGAACAGACACCTCCCAAGCGGTGTTCCCTCTAAGCTGAGTTAGTGTGAGCTAGCTCACAGTTTCTCAGCCTCCGGCTCACACATTTTTGTCTCGGCTCAGGAAGGAGGGCTCCAGAGCAAACTGATTGATGCAGCAGCCAAATCGCTCGCTCACGATTTTCATGCCAGTAGCTCACAAAGTAGAATTTTGCTCACAGGACTTCACAGCTTAGAGAGAGCCTTGCTTTCAATGGAGGGGCCAAGAACTGAACCAAGGACTTCTGCTTGCAGGCTGGTGCTCTTCCGCTGAGCAGCGCTTCCTTCTGTGTTCCTGGACAGTGATCTCTGCAGTTGATGGGACAAGTAAAGATGCATTTTCCTGATTCCCTGCAAGACGTCATGTGCAATGGTGGGGTCGCCATGATTTCTTTTTCTGGATGCTGTGGAACCTTTCCATTAAGAATCCAGTCCTGGACCACAGAGAGAACTGAGTGTTTTATGGTGTCTTCGCTCAGGAAGGAGGGCTCCAGAGCAGACTAATTTATGCAGAAGCCAAATTGCTCACTCACAACTTTAATGCCAGAAGCTCACAAAGTAGAATTTTTGCTCACAGGACTCCACAGCTTAGAGGGAATGTTGGTCATGACCGACCGAGTGCTCGCCATGCTCGTTCCCCTGACTTGTAATGGTGCCAGGGGTTACGGGCAAGGAACAAACCCTGTGCGGTTGCATTGGGGGAAAGCAGTTTATAAATGAACACGAGGCATTCATTCTTATTAATAAAAATGGAAACAATAGTTGAAGGAACCCAATCTACATTTTACAGAAAAAGAAGGGGGGGGGGAAGAGATGAGAACAGAGATGAGAACAACCTTCAGAGTAGATGCTTGCAAAGCCGGCGAAGTCCCAAAAACCTAATCTGTGATAATGACTGGGCCCCAGCAGGATTGTTTTGTACAGTCTGTTAAGCAAAAGACCACTCTGGGAGGCACAAGGACGGAGCCATCCTAAAGGAAATCAGAGCAAAGAATCTATGTCAACGGGACCCAGTTAAAACAAACAAACAAAATAAAACATGCCGAGAGCCTCCCACCGCTTTACCCACATTGCACTAATGCCCACGTTTCAGAGCTGGCCTCTTGTGGCAAGCTTCCTCGCAGAGGCACAAACGCAGAACTGGGGCAAGCTGTGATTTCTGAGGCCCTGACCTGGACGTCCCAAACTAGCCCAATCCCATTGGATTAGGGTTACCAGCTCCGGGTTGGGAGGTACCTGGAGATTTTGGGGGTGGAGCCTGAGGAGGGCGGGGTTAGTGGAGGGGTGGGGTATAATCAGGGCTCTTTTTGTAGAAAAAGCCCAGCAGGAACTCATTAGCATAATAGGCCACACCCAACAGCAGAAACTCATTAGCATATTAGGTCATACCCCTGACAGTGAAGCTCATTAACGTATTAGGCCACACCCCCATCTTACCAGAAGTGTGGTCATCCAGCCACACCCACCTTTTGCTTCTTATTCTGTTTACTTTGTTTGTTGTCAAAACCCAGGGTTAGGGTTAGGGTTAGGGTTTTTGTAGCAGGAGCTTCTTTGCATGTTAGGCCACACACCCCTAATGAAGCCAATCCTAATGAGTTCCTGCTGTTGGGTGTGGCCTATTATGCTAATGAGTTCCTGCTGGGTGTGGCCAACTCAGGAGCCAGCTGGAACTCCGTTCCTGTGCGTTCCTGCCCAAAAATAGCTCTGGGTATAATGCCATAGAGTCCTCCTTCCCAAGCAGCCATTTCCTCCAGGCGAACTGATCTCCGTCAGTTGTAATAATGGGAGATCTCCAGCCACCACCTGGAGACTGGCAACCCTGCGCTGGATCTTGGAAGCTTAGTGGGATCACCTCTGGGTAGCCACCAGGGGGTCACAGGGCTCCTACATGGAGACAGGGAATGGCAAACCACCTCTGTCCCGTCTCTTGCCTCGAAAACCATATGAGGTCACTGTGAGTCAGCAGCAACTTAGGATCATGGAATCACGGAGTTGGAAGGGGCCACATAGGCCATCCAGTCCAACCACCTGCTCAATGTAGGGTCAGCCCAGAGCAAGGGTGTCAAACAGGCCCCCGGAGGGTTTCCATCAGGCCCTCAGTGGAACTGGCAATCTCCTGCTTCTGCTGCTGCTGTTGCATCCTGGTTTGCTTCGCCAGACTCTCTTAATCATTCAGCCATTCCATGTTTGAACCTGAGTCCTAGACTCAGAACTCTGAGCATGAGATTTCTATGGTGAATGTCAATAAATCAAAAGTAGGTTTGCAGCTTACAGAGCTAATGTCCTTATTTTAAGCATGTCCTTATTTTAACTTAAAGCATGTCCTTATTTTAACTTTAAAAAACCCCTCCTTTGTGTTTGTGTCCTTTATAAAGTTCATATCTCCGCTACCTGGCATTACATTTCATGACACACACGGCCCGGCCCGACAAGGTCTCATTTATGTCAGATCCGGCCCTCATAACAAATGAGTTCGACACCCCCTGGCCTAGAGCATCCCTGACAAGTCTCTGTCCAGCTGCTGCTTGAAGACTGCCAGTGAGAGGGGAGTGCCCCACCTCCCGATCTAGCATATTACCCCACCAAACTACTCCTCCTTATGTCACTTGCTGAACTGCAGGCTGTGGAAGGTCAGTAGTTCAGCAGTTCAAGACCTGAGTGTGCCGCATGATGGAGTGAGCTCCCGTCTCTAGTTCCAGCTCCTGCCAACCTAGCAGTTCGAAAGCAAGAAATT